TATATATATTTTTTTTTTTTTTTTCATACAAATCTATAAAAGATCCACGAAATCCACAAAAATCATCACTTAAAAAAAAAGTTAATCAAAGTTTTCAAAAGTCCCAATTGAATACACCCCCTTAATTTTCAACAAAATCAATCGATTTTTTTTTTCCAATTTACAAGAACAACAAAATTGACTAGTTTTTCAATCTCCTTTTCGTTTAAATCTTAATAGTGTTTTCGAGGGAAATTTTGAAATAAATTGGGCGCAATGCACATTTGAAGGTGGTGTTTTATTACTAGAATCACGCATCTATTGTCTTTAAGACATAGACAAGTAACATGTTTGGTCCTTTATGTACCTTACTTTTACTTTTACTAATTTTAATGATTTGTTCTTATCAAAGCCTTCTTTTGACATGGTTTCTTTTACCCTGAGGAGACCAATACCTTGACATTTTGCCCCAACATTGATTGCCAGTGAGAAATAAAATGTTGTGCTTTATACAAGTAGATGATGGAATTATGAGGCTGCATTGCATTTTCACACGACAAGTACGATGTGCACTCAAATTTTATTTTCTACGCATTTAAAACGGACTATTCTATCAACTGGCGAGTGTACAATTTTCAAAAATTGGAAAATGATTTTCTAGAACCTTACATCTATCGAAAGTAACGTGGTGTGATATGGTTGCAAATTGGGACCACCGTCTAACCTAATTAGTCTTTTTAAAATTGTGTAAGTGGCATAATTAACGAAATTTCACTAGTTAGCTACTTCTTAATCCATTCATTCTCTGTTTTCCTTAGGTGTATATTGCACTAATGAATAAAGAGAATCCCAAGAAGGGTGGAATTTTTGGATAAAAAAGAACTCAATCTTTAATTAGCTAAGATAATTTTCTTTCAGAAAACTTAAAATAAAAAATAAACAGGTTTTGGAACTATGACTGAGCTGAAAATTGTGGGTCCCAAAGACGAGGAGAGAAGACATAAATTCTTACTAAAGTTGAGACATTATCATCTTCAACCAGTATGGAGTATGGACCCTCTATCCTTGTCAGAGTATTATTCTATGGGAGGATTATTTTCACTGTAAAATAAATTATAATACATTTTAAGAAATCTTTCTGCTTCTATAAATGTAATTCAATTGATTAAGGAATATTCTCAAAGGCCACTTTGGGGGACTTTCGGTGGTCAGCAAAATCAGGCCCGCTTTGACTTCTAAGCTAATTAACTTGGAGCTTTCTTGGAAATGCATGCACTTCTTTTGTAAAAGCAACTTATTTTAACAGAAAACTTAATTTTCATGCAGATATATCTCCTTTTTAGGGTTAATTGACTTGATATACATATTCATTCTCCTTTGATTCCTTGATGGACAACAATTTCCTAAAGCCAATATTCCAAAAATTAAAGTTGGTTTAAATTATATTTCTTTTTGGAATAAAAAAATAAAAAATAAAAAAAGTAATGTCATGTAAGAAAACCTCATTGCGAATGCTTAAACAGAATAGCTAAACTTTATTAGCAATTGACTTTTTTGAAACTTTTGATCATTCACTTTTGTAAAAGAAGCTCATTTATTTATTTATTTTTAATTACAAATGTAACTTAAAATTTAAGTAAGTTGCATGCAATTACTAATATATTAGGAAAGCAATACGCATGCATGGCTGTCATTTTGGACTTATAAGAATTAACTGATGGTGACGTTTTCATGCATCGCGGGATTAACTTTTCGTTTTTAATCTACTTTTTGCTTATTTATTGCTGATGTTGAGATAATGTCCACTAATCGGGCAATAAATTCCGCTGCAATAACAAAGTAAAGAAGAAGAAGAAAATGGAACTGATTTGAATAGCGCAGAACGCTGCTCTAAAAGTGTCATTTGTACATTCTCCTGCGAATAGTGATGCTTTAGGGACTTCAAGCAAATAGCCTTAGCGGATTCTTCAACTGGATTGCAAAAGTACGAATGAAATTCGGAAAGAATGAGCGATATGAACTTTTAAAATTTTGAATTTGCCAATGTGTTGGAGAAATTTTTTGAAAAGTGATTTATTTGGAGATTGTATAGTTAAAAAGTAGGAAAAGGTAATGGAGAAATATGAAAAATTAATTTTCAGAGAATGTGTCGTTGAAAATTAGTGTGGCAAAAATGATTTTACAAAAAATAACTCCCACACAAGGGTTTTATATTTTGAAGGACAAGTTTGGGAATTTTCTTGATGAGTTTTCCTAACAATTTCCACCCATATATATAGTGAAGAATCATTGAAACACGAAGGAACATGATTATAGGACAAAGAGTAGAGCTACACAAAAAATATCGCAGACTACAAATCAAACCAAACTCGTAGGTTTGAAATAGTTGGTTTGAGTCCACGTGGACTCGATGGTTTTTTCCCCTCAAACCAATCCATTTTAAAGTAGTTTGGTTCAAGTTTAAGTTTCGATTTTCAAAAACCGCACAAAATTGAATCTATACCTTTATTTTTTTTTTAATTCCCTCTATTTCTCCTTAAAAGAAGCATAAAAAGGACTTGCTCCAATTTCAGAACAAGGTTAACTTGCACCAAAGTGTCTAGTTTTAAGAAAGATATAATATATTTGCAGAGAAAATCATATAAATTTTATGCAGATAGTATAGATATTGTTGATAAAGCAATCATATTATTTCCTACGAATGTTTTCTTTAGAAATTTTGACATCAAGAGCTCAATTGACAAGATTCTTGTTCATTTAACACTTTATATAAATGTTGCATTAAAGAGGATAGAAGGCCGTATAACTTTGGCTGAAGGAACCAAAGCAAATATTATCAAATCTTCCAAACTTGAACTATTGTTTGTCCTTAAACAAAACAGTGACTTAACTCTACACAAAACATGGCTTGATAACTTGTCGGGCCTCATGATTAGAATTCAGTAATCCACACAAGGAACAGTTTCAATAGTGCACGAATAAAACCAACAT